AATGCCGAAGGGAGGCAGGGGCTGCAGCTGCAGCTCCTGCTCGTGCTCGTGCTCTTGCCAATAATGCCGCAGGGAGGCAGGGGCTGCAGCTGCAGCTCCTGCTCGAGCTGGCGTGGGAACAGGTCAGAAATAGCCTGTTCCGAAACCCAGTTTTCGTGCCTGAAGCTTAGGGCAGGTTGAAACAAATGAGCCAGGGCCTAAGAATAGCCCTCCGTTTCAGGCTGGAAAAACTCTGGGTCTGAAAGACCCATAAATAGGCTGAAACGGAGTAGGGCCTGCAGGCCCTCGTTTTTCAGTTTTCAGGCTGAAACGACCGGGGCCTGTAGCTCCTAAGTTTTAGGCTTTTAGGCTGAATGTCCGGGACGGGTCCTACAGGGCCCGTGTGGCTACGCAATCTGCCACAACTCCATTCTGCTCACGCTGTAGCGGGCAAACATTACCTCAGATATAAGTACTCACCTAAGGCTCATCTCCCCCTGTTAGCGAGGTATAAAGTGCCTACCAGCCAGTCAACCTATGGATTCTCTGTGGAAGAAGACTGAAGAGTGAATGCCAGAAAGTCATGATGATGGTAAACCTTCTCTAACTTCCATTCCCAGGAAACTTGTTCCTTGAGCCACCAGTACCGTTCCCATATATCGGATGTGGGCACCTCACGGCGACTTTCGGAAGCCCGCAACGCAACACAGGCCGCCGATGAGATTTGCTCTGAAAGTTGCGGCGGTATATAAGTCGCGTATTTGTTTTTCAAGCGGGGAAAGGCACTGGTGGTTTCAGCCAGATCCACACAGCTCAGACCTTCAGTCAACTTACCACCCACTGTTTGTTTTCCAGTTTACCTCCATTTCTGATGCCAGCTGGAAAGCTGTCGTTGCTCTGGGAGCACCTGGAACAATGGGTCCAGGGCTGTGATCAGAACTGGCAAACCGTCCGTGAAGATAATGAGGGCACACTCACACTATAACTTTTTTATTTATTTCTGGACGGAATTCCGGACAGATGCATCGGGGCCTGCGGTAAATGGGTTCAGAAAAACCGTCAGATACATGAAGGATAGTGCTAGTATGAGTAGGCCCTGAGAGGGGCAAGCTCTCATCTACCCTTCTGAGGGAGTTTCATCCGCCACTGTCTTCACACCAGTAGAACGCCCGATCACCATCGTTGCATCTGGACTATAAGTTGCCCCAAATCCAGCTACAATGACCGATCGTTCTATTCCGGTGAAGACGGTAGCACTAATCTATCTACGGAAGGTCTTTCCTAAGATAGGTGGCAATTGCTTCCATGGTCAAACAGATTAAAGACAAGAGCATTCCCTAAAGGGTGAATCTGGACATGTTTGTGTAGAGCATTCCCTAAAGCCTGTCACACTAGAACTCCATGCACAAGGTGCCGTGCTTACTGAGGTGATCAGAGCATCCCTGTGAAGCAAGTGCCCATATGGAAGGTTCCATCTATTGGTGGGGAGCAACACCTGCTAGTAATCGGATCCAGCATCCCTGTACATCATGAGGGATCAGAGATCCAGGTTGTAGTTAGCATTTTTGTGTTACATAGCTTGGCTTGTTTTGTGTGTCTGTTTCGAGGAACTAATGTATCATTTATAGTAATTTTGTAGTCTTTTGTGTCCAGGTGCGAGCTGCTTTTGCAGTGCCTTTGTAGTGCAGGACTTGTAGGGCGCCTTGTGGGGAGCCAAGGCTGTGTGGCAGTGTGGTGTGTGTATGCTGTGCGTATGTTTGTTGTATACTCTGTTCTCTAACCTCTGTCTGCTACAATTCTGTGTGCTGTCAGGTGAGCAAATTATACTAGGTGCAGGTGAGTGCCTTGGGGGGAACCAAGGCTCTGTAACCCTGTGGTGTGTATACTGTGTGTTTTGTTAAAAAAAAAACAAATTCTCTCTCTCATTCCATCCAAGAATCATCACAAAGCATCCATAAAACAAAAGATAGAGAAACAGTATGGTAGAAGATGCAAGGTTGGCGACAATTGTGTGGTTCAGCAGCAAGTGCCCACACACCCATCTGCCGCTGAAGCACCATGTGATGCGCCAGGGAACAACAACGGGACAACGCTCAGCACTACCTGGACATGATGGCTAGGGCCTATCCAAGATTGGCTCGCCGGCGGCAGAGAACCGTAGATCTGACGCATCAACGGCAGATCCGAGACTATGAGAACCGCCATGCGTCAGCGGACCCACTGCCCAGCTATAAAGTCAGCGATTTGGTACAGATACGGAAGTCTGCGCACTCCTCCAAGCTGATCGCCGCAGAGGATGTGGAGCGTTCCTCAAGCAGACCTCTAGCTGCAGACCTTGAGCAGCAGCTGTGGAGGCCTCCTGGTGACCTCTAGTGATGGACCTGGAGCAGGGGATCGGCCGACCTCTAGCAGCAGCAGCACAGTGTAGAGTTCAGCAGGCTGGGCAAGATTTACAATACAAAAAAAATATTAAAAAAAAGAACCTGCTGAGTGAGCACCTCCAGTGACTTTGAGCAGTGTGGAGCCTGTCTCTTATACACATCTAGATGTGTATAAGAGACAGTCCTCAAGCAGACCTCTAGCTGCAGACCTTGAGCAGCAGCTGTGGAGGCCTCCTGGTGACCTCTAGTGATGGACCTGGAGCAGGGGATCGGCCGACCTCTAGCAGCAGCAGCACAGTGTAGAGTTCAGCAGGCTGGGCAAGATTTACAATACAAAAAAAATATTAAAAAAAAGAACCTGCTGAGTGAGCACCTCCAGTGACTTTGAGCAGTGTGGAGCACAGCAGCAGCACCAAATCGCAGCACTTGCCCTGTGGGACAACATCAGCATCAGACATGCGGGATGGTGTGAACGACGAAGAGGTTGATGCTCATGTTTTGTGCAACTGTACAGGTGTGCGCAGGCTGGGGACATCTTCGACGCCGACCCACTCGTCCTACCTGGGGAAGTGACTACGCGAGGCTCCCTTCTGGCCAATAATGGGTATACCGCCCTTCCTTGGTTGGTTACTCCATATCCGGGCCAGCAGGTCCCGTTGGATGAGTCGAGGTTTGTTGACAAGCAAAATGCTGCAAGATCTGTGGTGGAACGTGCTTTCGGGAGACTGAAGGGGATGTGGAGGTTGTTTCTTTGCACTCGCAAGACAAAT